CCGACTCGATGGCACCTGACAACAACAACAACATAAGACCATGGAGTCCTAGTGTGATTGATGTTAAATGATAAGCATTGGACTGCTAACCACAAAGTCAGAGGTTCAAACCTACCAGTAACTCCTTGGAAACTCTAGATATTTATGGGTACGAGTCAGAACCAACCAAATGGCACATAAGAAGATCAACAACATAAGACCTTCCTTCCCATTTCAACTCATTTTTCTGCTTCCAAGGACAGCTAGAAAATTACTGAGACAGAAATTCCCTTTTTAGGGTAATGAGGATTTGATCACAGTCCACATAATATATTTTGTTGTTGTTGTTGTTAAGTACCATGGAGTCGTTTCCGACTCATAGTGATCCTGCACAGGGTTTCCGAGGCTGTAACTCTTTACGGGAACAGAAAACCTCATCTTTTGCCTGCAGAATAGCTGGTAGTTTTGAACTACTGACCTTGGGGTTAGCAGCCAATTCGTAACAACTACGCTACCAGAGGTCCTTATATTTAGAGACTACTTTTAAACTAAAATCAACTTCATACCCATTAGAATGTAGTACATGGAAGAAAAAGCCAAATGGGAGCAGTACAAGAATGCCTATCCAAAAAGAAGTTTGACTTTAAGTATACTTCCTTAACAACTACCAAGAATATAAATACCTTCCAGGATATTTGTATATGGGTATTTATTTACCTTTGATGCAAGCACACCTATGAATGTGGTAGAGCATACAGACAAAATGTGGGAAACTTTTAGATATTACCAAACACTTTGAGGCAATGAGTTGCTGGGCCTCAGGGTTCAGGACCATAACCTTAGGGGACACCATGGTCAGTTGACATAACACTGTCCACAAAGACAATGTTCTATATCTTTGGTGAGTAGTGACTGGGATCTTAAAAGCTCATCAGTGACTATCTAAGGTACGACTATTGGTCTTTCCATATGCAGAAGAAGGAAGAGTGATGAAAAATTAAGAGGCTTGGAATCATTAGTCCAATTGACTAACAGAGCATGTAAACATCGGTCTCCACAACACTAAGACCCAAAGAACTAGATGGTGCCCAGGTACCACTACCAACTGCTCTGAAAGGGATCCCATTAGAAGGTCCCAGATAGAGTAGGAAACAATGTGAAACAAAACTCAAAATTATGAAAAAAATTTTTAAAAGATGGGCCTACTGGTTAGAAAGAGACTGCAGGAACCCACCGTGGGCCTTGTTCACCCTTCAGGTCTGGAATGGAACCAGTTTTCAAGCAAGTGGTGAATAAGAAAGTATATATGGAGGACAACAGCACTCGTGAGGTATGCTCACCATGGAATGGTCAGACATTCAAATCAAAAGAGCAACATTTACCTGGGAACAAAGTTCAGAGGGGTTGGGAAGGAAGATGGAATGGAAATAGAAACCACAGGGAGGAAGTAGGATAAGTGTTGTTACATGGAGGGAATTACAATCATTGAGATGAAACAAAGTGTGTGATTTATTGGATGTAAAATACTCTTCCCTGTAAACTTCCACTCACTTCACAATAAAATCTTTCATACATACACACACACACACACACAAGAATAATTCAAGCAATAAAAAGATCATTCTCTGTTGAAAATGCTTTGTATCATTTATCCAGGGCAAATGAAGTATACTCTGGTTATCAGTCCCTTTATTTGCCAAGCATAATTTTTCCATCTGTTGTATTTTAGCAAAAGAATTTATACAAATTCAATTCTCAAAATAACAGAAAGAGCCAAAACAGGATCAGTGAAAAATAATGCATATGCACTTTAACCTCACATTAGTTCTCAGGTATTATTAGCAGTCCCTTTTCTATTAATATTTTAGTTTAAAAATGTCCCCAATTTTCCCAGTGAGATGGATTGACACATGCTACAACAGTGGGCTCAAGCACAGCTACAATTATGGGGATCGTGCAGGACAGGGTGGTGTTTTCTTTTGTTAGACACAGTGTCACTATGAGTCAGAACCAACCCAATGCCACCCAATGATTCTCTTTGCACTAATGATTGGGCTTACTTCATTTCCCAAATTACATATCTATTTTCTGATGATGCCTGAAAAACAAAGAGAAAGAAGACCAACAAAAGATTTGCACATACACTGATAGAATGTGGTGGAATTGCGTCATTTCAGTTTTCTTCTTTTATGTGTGTTTATTATTAGCAACAGCCGTCCAGTAGGTTCCAATGCATAGCAACCTTATATAAGGTTTCCAAGGAGTGGCTAGTGAGCTTGAACCATTGTCTTTGTAGTTCAGACTGACTACATATTAACCTGCAGTGCCATACCACTCCCAGGAAAGTGATTGACGTTGAATTTTACCTAGTCACCACCAGTGACATTTTCTCTTCTCCTCACCAGCCACTACTTGAAATACAGGGCAGCTGTGAGTCAGAAATGACTCTGCAGCACTTAACAACAACCCTTGCTATACAGGATCGCTATAAGTCAGAACTGACTCAACAAGTCTTAACAGCAGTAATATATGTTGTTGTTGTTATGTGCCGTGGAGTCGATTCCAACTCATAGTGACCCTGTACAGGGTTTCCGAGGCTGTAAATCTTTATGGGAGCAGAAAGCCTCATCTTTCTCCCGCGGAAAAGCTGGTAGTTTCCAACTGCTGACCTTGCGGTTCACAGCCTGATTCGTAACCACTACACTACCAGTAATATATAGCTGTAGGTATAAAAGTGTTGGAAAATATTAATTTTTGTAATTGAGATCATTCACCGAAATTTCAAATGAATATTTTTCATATTCAATTTCTTTTTAAAAATCAGTAATATAGGACTGATGATTTCATTTTTAAAAGTAAAAATGTGTGTAGTAATGCCTATCTATGGATACCTCTCAAGTAGGTCTTCAAAGTTAGTGTCATCTCTATTCACATGGCAGTTATAAACTTAATTTGGTGTCTCTGTCTAAAAATGACAACCACATGGGGTCGCCATGAGTTGGCATTGAATCCTTGGCAACTAACAACAACAACATCTAAAAATGAAGAGCAGGTGAGACACCTAAAATATCCTCATTTGCATCTGTTTCCCTTCCTTATGTGAGGGAGAGTCAACCCACCCAATATTGCTTGAGCAATAAGGAAATAACCAGTGGCAACTTGGAAATTAATTCAAGGTTGGTTTCTCATAGTACTACTTCAGGCCCATCATTGTTTGGTTCAAAATGATGCAGGATTTTGAAAGAAGCAGAGATGATTGAATTGAAGAATTTGGCTACTGTGTTTTCTTACATAAAATATGCTGTTAGAGAATTCATATATTTCTAAGGTAGCAAAAAATACATAATTACACCATATTTTTAAAAATTTGAATCACTTCCTACCTATAAAAATTTAAGATCAATTATCCAGAATGAAAGGAACACACATAGATGCAAATCAATTCTGTATTGGTTTCTTATTACCACACTAAGAGAAAATCTGAGGATATAAGCTATGACTTAATTTTGACTTTGAATGCATACAGTGATCTCATGTACATAAAATAACCATCACAGAACTAAACTGAGGAATCCAACAGCTGGCTGCATTTAAATGATTTTAAAATAAATGCTTATAAAACAAGAAAATTTTGAGTGTTTTGCTGCTTAGGAGTAAAACAAATCACAAATGTTTTTTTATGATGATTTTCTCTGACAGGACTGGGAATTCCCACACTTCATGGGAGATGTTGATGTAAATCTCCCCGGGTTGCACACGCCTCATATGCAGTTCAAGATTCCCTTCTTCCAGAAGATCTTTAAGGAGGAATATCGTATTCATATAACAGGTATGTTATAACGTTGAACATAGTTTGACTCTCGTACTAAGGCAATGCTAGAAAGTCAGTGATTCAAACCCACCAGCCACTCCTCGGAAACACTGTTCAGGATCACTATGAGTTGAATCAACTGAACAATAAAACAACAGCAGCTGTTTTTTGGTTTTGTTTTTTAAAAGCAAACCACAACATTTCAGAGGCACACATCAGTATAATTTTATTCCTTGATCACTTAACAGCGCAGGATAATGCCAGGTCAGCTCATGGTTCTGCTCCACACAGTAATGCTGCGATCTAGACTACTGGAGGCTCAGCTTTCTTCAACTTTGACATCTAGTAAGCAACTGGAAATAAAGAGGATGAGGGAAATGGTTCAGGAGGCGTCCATTTTACCCCTACTCACATTTCATTGGTGAGAGTCAAATAACTCCACTTTGAGTCAAGGAAAGCAGTAGTCTCCATTTGGCAGTCACTTCTGATATCAGATCTAACATTCTAGGATAGAGAGAATATCTTTGGTATGGATAGATGGCTATCTCTGCTATACACCAAATTCCATCGACCTTGATTTTGTTCCTTGAGTGGGTTTCTTTTTCACAAAACATCACTCAGCATATCTTTCTTAACATTACTCCTCTTTATGTGTTCTTTCTTCCTTTACTACTTAAATCAAAACAAAACAAAACAAAAAAAACAATGGTATCCTAGAGCTACCATCAGCCCAATCGATGCCTTTAGGGATTTAGACTGTTTCTTATTTAAGTAAAACCTACTTTTGTATCAGGGTTCACATTTCATGTTAGTATAAAGTGATTCTCTTATGAATCCCAACATTATTTCATTTTCAATATGTCCTACTTTTGACATGGCTCTAGTATGATTTATTGTAATATTCTTCTACAACATTTCAATCATTCTCATCTGAAAAAAAAAGTTCTTGAATTATGATTCATAACTGCTTTTCCTGAAGAAGTTGCAGACAGAGGGATAATCACAAATAAAGGACGGCATTAGTTCCCAAGCTGTTCAAATGCAGGTAGTAAATGTGTATGTTTTAAGAACAGTAGTCTAGGATCCCACATCTGCTATAATAAAAATTGCTGAAGAAAGAAATCTATGCTTACACTACCGTCTGTGCTGCCGAATAAAAATAGCCTGAGCACAGAAAATGTTAACATCTGAGTACTGCAAAAAAAAAAAAACCTTTGCTTCCCAACTAGGATGCTGTTTTCTGCTTTGAGCATGAAGCGACATTCCTAAATTGGAGAATGAGCTCATGAATAGGGAAGATGCAGCAGGTTTCTTCTCCTATTCAAAATGAATACGGCCCATTTATTAAATTCACTGGGTAAATCAATCAATTTGCGTGCAGGTCACATAATGTGGTTTCAGAGTCCCCACTTAATCTCTGTAGTATAGTACTCTCTTGGACTTCTAAAACAGCTACCACACACATGGCATCAGCAGATCCCTTTGGGTGGGCTTTTGCTTGGGCCATCTGTTCTTGCTATCAGCTCTTGTCCCAGACCATCATTGCACTAATATTGTTTCTGACTGAGTATCAGAATGCCTGTCAAAAGCATACTACTAAAGTAAAGAACATCAGTTTCAAAGAAAAGAATCAGAAATCCCATTGATAAAAAAGTAATCAAGCTGTTAAAGAATATTTAATTCAGAGCGATTTTATGTGGCTTTGTCATATGCATATCAGATTCAGATTTTGTGGTGCTCTAAGTTTATACTTGGATTCCTGGTGTGCTGCTGTGGGCTAATGCGCTGGACTGCAAAGTCCATTTGAACCTTAGGATCAGTAGTTCAGACTCACCAGCTGCTGCTTGGAAACCCTATATAGGGTTGCTATGGGTCAGAACCAACTCGATGGCATTTAACAACAAGTTTTACTCGGGTCCTGGTGTAGTGCTCCGGGTTAATGTGCTGGACTGCAAAGTCAATTTGAACCACAAGATCAATGTCTCAAGCTCACCAACTGCTCCTTAGAAACCCTATACAGAGTCACTATGGATTGGAACCAACTTGATGGCACTTAATAACAACAAAGTGTATACTGTTTGGAATGTTCTACTTAAGAAAATAGGAGCTCGGGTAGCATAGTGGTTATGAATCAGGCTACAAATCGGGCTGCTAACCTCAGGGTCAGTAGTTTGAAACTACCAATTGTTCCACAGGAGAAAGATAAAGCTTTATGCTCCCATAAATATTTACAGCCTCGGAAACCTGTACAGGGTTGCTATGAGTCGGAACCGGCACAGAACCACCACCACCACTTAAGAAAATGCATGCAAAATTTCATCTTAAAATGATATTCAGTGCCTTGCAAGGGGACGATGCATGCAAGAGACCCTGAAGCTTCGGTGTCATTAACTTCCAGATAAATCCTCCTTAGTATTTGGGAAGAAGCAGATACATGGCTTCCATTTGAATAAAAACCTTGTCCCCGATTAAGTACTATTTTCAAAAAACATTGCCAGCAAGAGAGATTAGCTAATTTTTGGAACAGAAACCACATGTTAATAAGGTTTGCTAGAAGGTGGAATATATTGTACCTTTGATTTTGGTGTGGTGTTTGCCAAATTATGCCAATTGTCATTTCATCTTGGGAACTTTAGCATATCCAGGAGGCTAGGCTCCATTTCTAAATGGTTCTGATCTTGTAGGTCTGGGCAAGGGCTGGGAAATGAGATCTTTATAAATGTTCACCCAAGTGATGCTGAGAATTACTTTCTTTGGGACCAGCTCCTGTCTCACTGAGAAGCCAGGTAGGCGGTCTAGCCAGTTCCCTGAGATGGCTTGTGCAAACTGTTGGAGACCAAGACCTACTGGTAGGGCTTTTGAAGATTCTGGGGTCTAATTTCAAAATAAGGTAGAGAGTGGTGTGGGTTTTGGTTTATAGACTCCACCATTAACAATTTAAATCCAGTCTGGGTAGGATGTTCAAATGCATTCCCAGAACCATGATAATTTCTAGGAGAATTGCTACAGCTTTGAGGGCTGTAGGAAGTCAGAACTTACCTCCTCTTGTTTTTGTTCTGTTACTCTCTGTGTTCTGCTAATTGGCTGTAGAGGTTACTAAGGCCACTCTGAAGCCAGACAATTATCAACATCACCTGGGAGAGCATTTTAAAAGTAGCCATTCCCTGGCCCTTGCTCAGACCTACTGCAACAGAACCATTAATTGGCTAGCATCTGGTTTCCTGTGAAAGACCATTTTCTTACCTGACTTTCTAAGACAATTATTTCTGTGGAAACCTAGGGTAAAAACACTGTGCTACCAGCTACATTCTAATATTCTTAATACTTAGCAGTCTACACATTGCTGTGTGAACTGAAAATTCTAATTTTTTAATAATTCATTCTTTTTCTTTTTCTTGTGAATTGGGTGAAGGTTTACAAAGCAGATCAATTTCTAGTCAATAATTCATACACACTTTGTTTCATCTCATTGACTACAATCCCCACAATGAAACCTCTCTTTATTCCGCTTCCTCCTAGTGTTTCCTGTTTCCATTCCTCCTTCTTTCCTAACCCTTCTGCACTTTGTTGTTGGGCAAATACTAAGGAGCTCTGGTAGTGTAGTGGTTACGAATTGGGCTTCGAACCTCAAGGTCAGCAGTTTGAAACTACCAACTGCTCCGCGGGAGACAGATGAGGCTTTCTGCTCCCTTAAAGATTTGCAGCCTTGGAAACAGGTTGGAACTGACTCCAAGCCATACCACAACAACAAATCTCAAATGGTTGATTATTCTAAGGTGTTCATACATCCTACTGTTATTCCCTTTAAATGTTTGCTTTACAGAACTGATGGCACTGTAGGATAAGTAAAAGCACAGGACTGCTAACCACAAAGTCCATGGTTCAAGTCCACCAGCCGCTCCCGTGGGAGAAAGATAAGACTTTCTGCTCCCTTGAAGATTTACAGCCTCTGAAACCCTATACAGAGTCCCTATGAGTCCAAACTGAGTCTAATGCTGTTATTATCATTTAGGTCTGTCAAGTAGGTTCCGGTCCATAGTGACCCTGTATAAGGTTTCCGAGGAACAGCTGGTGAGCTTGAATTACCAACCTTGCAGTTCAAAGTGACTTTGCAGTCCAGGCCTTAACCCACAGCACCACACCAGGACTCCAACAATTATAAACTTGTTAATGAGCTGGCTGAAGTTGAGCCTTGGAAATGAGTTCATTTCCAAACAAAGGGTGGCTAAGGACCATAGTCTCCAGAGTTCCACCAATCTCTATCTGACCAGTAAGCCTGGTGTTTTTTAATGTTTTGAGTTTTGGTCTCCATTTTTCTCCCGCTCTGTCTCATTCTTTTTTTATGGAGACTTGAAAATATTTCTTGATAAGCAAAAGAGTGTAACTACTGAGGTTGTTAAACATGTTAAACATGTCCATCGCTGGTTCTCAAACTTCAGAATACATTAGAATTACCTGGAGACATTGCTAAAGCAATCTGTAAGCTACACACCCAGTCTGATGACTGAGGTATGGGGCAGAGTCTAGAATCTTTCCTTCTGCCAAACACTGGAACTAATACCCATGCAGACAGCAGAAGATGACTCTGAGAAACACCGAGGCCAAGAAACTTTTCATAGTCAGAATTCCTCTCATCTGAGTTTTAATTTACATCATATGCAACTGTTGAAATCAAAAGCCAAGGTTGCTATTGTTAAGTGCTGTCTGAAGTCAGTTCTAACTCATAGCTACCCTAGGCACAACAGAGAGAAACACTGCCTGATCTTCACCATCCTCACATTTGTTGCTATGTTTAAACCTATTATTGCTGTCGTTGTATCAGTCCATCTTGTTGGGGGTCTTCCTTGTTTTTGCTCACCATCCACTTTACCAAATATGATGTCATTCTCCAGGGATTGAGCCCTTCTGACAACATATCCAAAGTAGAAAAGATGAAGTCTCCCATCTTTGCTTCTAATGACCATCATGGCTGTACTTCTTCCAAGACAGATTTGTTGGTTCTTTCAATATTCTTCACC